GTAGACCTAGATTAGATTACTCTTCGCAAATAGTTAAGGATGTGGGCTGTTCTAGTTTTAGGGAAATGCGAAGTTTAGCTCAGGATAGGAAAGAGTGGAGGTACGTGTCCAACCAGTCTTAAGACTGATGACCTTATGATGATGATGATGATGATGTAAATTATAGATACTCTTTCTATTGTTCATTTAATCTGAATTTGAAGGATCTGCCAGTTTGACCAATGTATCTTTAGAGTTTATTTGATAAACTTGTCCTTTTTCTTTAGTATTTGGAGAAGTATTGAAAAATACAATTTTGAAATAAAAAAGGTTTTTCCCTTTCCTGTGCATATCCCAATTACTTGGTTTTTATAATACTACTCACCCGGTCCACTATTCAAACAATTGTATTGGTCCAATACACACTGATTTGCGAACGTCTTTTTCACCTGATTTATATTAATGCCACAAACAGGTTTGTACTGAGACGCACAACCCGGACATTTCTGGGCATTCCCGTAGCTCCAGGATAGAGCCAAGAGGGCGACTTGGGAAAAATCAAGCAAAATTATTATTATTGCAATTCCGTTAGGTACAAACAACAAAAATAAAAAGTAAAGTAACTCTGCCTTACCTAAAAGTAACGCTGAAATGGTCTTCATAGTACTTGTTGATAGGAAAAGAGTGATAATATAATAAAATGGCAAAGGTTCACCTGTTTTATATATACCAATTTATGAGCTTCAGGTGTTGTACTGATAAATAATTAGTACAATGACGAGTTCTCTCGAAAAAATTAATTGTTTCTGGTTTTAGCTTAATATCTTAAGTACCCCCAGAAAAAAAGTTGTTAGTTACAGAATGAAGATTAAATTATAAAAAAGTCTGAATATCGTGTTTTTTATATGTATATATCGCGGTAACTTTTTCCTAAAATCTTTTGATTATCTTCGATCGAAATTAATTTATAAGTACTTAATAATAATTAGTTTTATTATACTAGAGGTTTCAATGCATTGTATTGGGTTGTTCGGAAAGTCATTTCGTTTTTTCCAGACAGAGGATTTAATTGTATTCTTTTGCACCCAACTTCACATTTAAGCCGTATAATTTTTATATGCTTTGAGAGCTCATATAGCAAGGCTTGTGTGTGAAAAATTCCAATTAATTCTACGCAGTAGTTTTTGGTTGGTGCCCTTTTAAATATGGAGAGCGATAAGCAGCATTTTCGACATATCTTACTGTTTTACTACAGAAAGGGTAAAAATGCTGTTCAAGCCAGAAAGAAATTGACTGATGTGTATGGAGAAGGTGTGTTGACAGTACGCCAGTGCCAGAACTGGTTCGCTAAATTTCGATCCGGCAATTTTGATGTCGAAGATGCACCACGTTCGGGAAGGCCGGTTGAAGCTGATAAAGACGCGATAAAGGCATTAGTTGATGTGAACCGGCGAATAACAACACGTGAGATCGGATTGAGGTTAAATTTATCAAATTCAACAGTTTATGACCACTTGAAAGGCCTGGGATTATCCTCGAAGCTCGATGTATGGGTTCCCCATGTTCTCACAGAGAGAAATCTGTGTCGCCGCATTGACGTCTGCGATTCGCTTCTCAAACGTCACGAAAATGATCCGTTTTTGAAGCGCATCATCACTGGGGACGAAAAATGGGTTGTATACAACAACGTCAAACGCAAGAGGTCATGGAGCAAAAAAGATGAACCGGCTCAAACCATTTCCAAAGCCGATATTCACCAAAAAAAGGTGATGCTGTCTGTTTGGTGGGATTTTAAAGGAATCGTTTTTTTTGAGCTTTTACCGGATAACACAACGATTAATTCGGAAGTCTACTGTCATCAGCTGGACAAACTGAATGATGCACTTCAACAGAAAAGGTCAGAACTAATCAACAGGAAAGGTGTAGTGTTTCACCAAGACAACGCGAGACCTCACACAAGTTTGGTCACTCGCCAAAAGCTTTTACAGCTTGAATGGGAATCAATGCTACATCCACCATATTCTCCAGACCTGGCATCATCGGATTATTATTTGTCCCGGTCACTCCAAAATTTTTTAGACGGTAAAACCTTCACCTTTAATGAGGAAGTCAAAAACCTCCTCGATCAGTTTTTTGCCAGCAAAGACCAAAAATTTTATGAGCGTGGAATTATGCTACTACCAGAAACACGACAAAAGGTGTTGGACCAGAACGGTCAATATATAATTTAATAAAGTGTTTGTTTATTATACGAAAACTGTCTTTCATTTCCACAAAAAAAAAACGAAATAACTTTCCGAACAACCCTATATTATTAAATAAACTGAAAGTGGAATTTTTTACTGTCGACACCTGTTTTGTCTTCTTCTAAAAAAGCGCTATTTTCATTGTGTTATCAGTTGAAAACTTTGTAAAAAACGGCGCGTGTAATTTTTATCTATCAGTAAATTATACGATTAATTAGATTTTCACCGCGGTTTCGCTTAAGTTGATGTCCCAAGTACATGTCAAAGATCATCGACGACCACATAAAACTAATCTTTTCTATAAATAATTCGAAACGAACTCACATTGGCATTTATAATTCAAGTAAAATACGCATTCGATGGTAAAACGAGAAAAGTCCGGTGCGACACGTTTTACTATGGAAAATCCTAATAAATATTCATGTGCATTCAACAGTAATTTAGTTTGTCGTCATTCGATCATACACACACAGATGCATACACACCAAATACCCAATTATGTATTAACCGATGTCGTGAATTCGAATTGACCTTTTGCTAGATAAACAACGAAATGAATTTGTTGCATCTTACAACAAACTAAATAGTCAACGATTTTTAACGGAATAGATTGTTAACGCGTTGCAATCAGTGACAATGTTAATTAGGTCCGTTTTTCTTGTAGTAACAGTTTTACCCTTGGTGTGGTCGCTGGGATTAAGGGAAGAGTTTACTTGGACTCGCATAAATTATGTAATGTTTTCGAGCAGATATAACGTCGGAAGGAAACTGAATAACTTGGGCGAAAATACGGAAATTGTTTTCCCTTCTGATGATCCAGTTTCGGGGGTAGGAAGCGAACTGAATCAAAATGATGATTACATTTACGGTATGTTATTGTTATGCCTTATTATTAATGGTACTTTTAATAAAAATAAAACAATCTTTTAAGAAAACAACATCCCAATGGGCGCAAACCGCTGGGAGGATAAGCTGTTTATTACCGTGCCCAGAAGGCGCAATGGGGTACCATCGACGCTCAATTATGTTTCGATTAACAGTCGCAATCGCCACAATGTACCCCTCATCCCCTATCCCGACGCGGAGAGTAATATGTTGCGGAACGATGGTACAAATGGGATAGTTTCGGTTTACAGGGTCGCTGTAGACGTTTGTGATAGGTTGTGGATGGTAGACACTGGTACAATTGAATTACCCGGTGAATATTATTTACATTCGTCTAAGTAACGTATTGAAGTGGTTAATGACAGAAAAATATTTTAGGGAATATCACCCACGTTCAACCCCCGAGCATACTAATATTTGACCTGAAAACTGACAGGTTGATAAGGAAATATGTTCTTAAAGAAAGAGATTACACGTCGTCGTCCACCTTAGCCGATGTTACCATCGATGTTACCCGTTCGGATTGTACCAACGCGTATGCGTACATTCCCGATGTCGGAGGGTATGGGATGATCGTGTACAGTTTCCACGAAAACGATTCGTGGAGGGTTACCCATAATTATTTTTATTTGGAACCTATAGCTGGAGAAATGTCTATAGGTGGGTTCAAATTTCAATGGAACGATGGTATTTTTAGTATCGCCCTGGGTAGTTTACGAAAGGACGGGTTTAGAACCGCTTATTTCCATTCGATGGCTGGAATAAGTATTTATGCGGTGTCCACGAGGATTTTAAGGAATAAGCAGTTGGCTACAAGGTCCTACCATGGAGACGATTTTAAGGTGACAGAGTTTCGTATTTGGTCTTGGTGTCGCATATTTTGTCATAGTTTCAGACTTGGTCTACTTTGTTGGGTCATGGTTTTGATCTTGCTAGTATAAAGACAGTCTTGGTCGCATTCATAATTTTACTAACCACGAAGTTAAATTCTTTGTATATTTCGTTTAGTTTCTCTAGCGATGTGACCTTCAGTTTGACCGGCGCAAAGTAGAAAAGAACAGCACTAGGCCAGAAAAGAAAGGAGACAACTCTTAACCGGTGAGGAGCGTATAATCCGTACAGTACTGCGCGGAAAAATTGACCATTTTATCCACTGCAATTTCATTGCTCAAATGTGCTGTTATTGGTACCAATTACTACTGAAAATATCAACGAAATGTTTATTTATATTTGAAGACACATTAAAGGCTTTAACGCTTGTTTTCGACTCGCACTACTATTCATGATTGAACAAAACTTTTTCCAGGCACTGTATGAAAAAGTATGTTTAATGAACAAGAGTCGAGAGTATAATGAGCTTTTTTCTCCCTGCCTACGATTTTGCCATCGCGCATCCAAGACATTAGAAGGGGTAAATCGCTAGAGAAAGTAAATGAAGTATACATAGCTTTTTAGAATTTCTTCAAATTAACCGATGATGGCAAGCGCAACAGCGATTAAATTGATATTGGCTTACCAGGGGTAAAAGTTACAGGGGTCAAAAAACTAAAAATCGCAATCGTAACAGGTTGTTGGGCGTCGTGAACTCGGATATCAGTCGTCTTCATCTGCATTGTACCAGTCGAATGGGGTTTTGTTTTTGGGTTTGGTGAACAAAAACGCTCTCGGATGCATCAAAACGGGACAACGTCTGATGGCCGATCCCGTGACCGTTGGGATCGTCCAAAGGGATGACAACAAGATGATTTACCCTTGCGACGTAAAAATTTACAAAAATGACGTAATCTTACTCACTAATACCATGCCAGTGTTCCTGTACGGGAATTTGGATTATTCCCAAGTTAATTTTAGGGTTTGGATGGAGAATGTGGACAAGGCACTGGAAGGAACTGGATGTTTAAAAAGATGATTGATGCAATTGTTTCTTTCATTTGTTTGGTGTATATATATCTATTCAGATAAATAAAATTGTATAATACACGGACAATGATAATTAAACGATTAATTTATTATTTATGGACACTAACAACTCTGATTTTGATAAGGTGCAATCCTATAATCTTGAGGATTACCGTGTAATCTTTTTAGGTATACTAACCTACCTTTTATTACATTTTTATTTCCTATTTATTTCTGTTAAATAATATTTTAATTACTTCAAAGCAAAATACATTACAGAACAATCGACAAAATCATTGGTACTTGGTACAATCAATTAATATATGACTGCGAAAGTAGAGATAAGATAAAGAAAATCGGACTAAAAGTTTGTTGCAAACGCCAAAAATAACTGATTATAAATTTTAAATGTATATAAGTATTAATGATTTTGTCGATTGTTCTGTTATGCACTATAGTTGGAATTAAAATATTATTTTCAATTTTCAAGTTCGTACATGTAGGTACTGATTTGAAGTCGGTTTTAGTCCTTTTTCTCAAAATTAAGTTTATTTTTACAATTTTTAGTGTCTGAAGTATAACCTAATAAACAAAAAACAAATCATCAAAATCAATTCATAATTGACAGAGTAATCGCATAACAAATATACCAAAAAAAAGAAACACAATCGAATTGAGTATCTTCAACTTTTTTTGAATTCGGTTGAAAAAGAGAAATGTTTTGTTCAATTTTGTTTTGCTTTTGTTTATTATTTTGTTTTGTAAATGATATGAATGTAGAAGGAAACAAAATTTCTGGCAGTGTATTTACTTATTTTATTTTAATTCAAAAGCTTTTTAAATATTACACAATCTTCAAGTTGTTCATTATGTACAATATAATAAAATTTTTAAACAATCCCTCCGAAAATACTTTTAAAAATTTTCTTCGAGAGATTTCTTAATATGTCGATACATTTAATCATTTTCATTATCTACTTTTATTAATACTTACTCACAACCTTGCGTTTACAACAGAAACTGACGAGGAAAATCTTTGTACAATTCGAAAATTAACTAGTAAAACCTACGGTAGTTAACGTTCCAGTTAATACAAAATTTAAATTCTGTACATTATTATAAAACAAAAGTTCCCGTGGGTGGGGCCTTAAAAGACATCAGCAATTGAATTCAATTTTTTCTTTCTTCTTTTCTACGCATACTGATTTTCATTCTTTTGTTTTTTTTTTTATAATATCATAAAGTCCATATTTTTTTTTCATCTTAGATTGATTCACAATTTACAGAGACATTTCTTAAACTATATATCGAACAAAAACAACGCTTATAATAATAATAATAATTAAACAATAACATATTATTTAGCAAATAATTCTTTCGGAATAAACTATTCCTTTGTTTAAATATTATACCTAGATACTACATATTTATAAATTTCATTCATTTAAAATTGTCTAATCAATTCGCAATATTGTACCTGTGTTAGATACTCAATAAAATATGTTAATAAGAAGTATCAAAGTGATTTTACTTAGGTAGGTTTTCTTTGGTTTTTTTTTATTGTGAAGCATTTGGTACACAAAACTTAAGCGGAATGCCTTATGAAATAACTAAAACTACGATATTAAATGTAATGATTCAGTTTAAAGAATTATAAAAGTGTTTTAAAGTTTTCCGTCTTAGTTATTTTATTGCTTATATTAAGTACTTAGTATCCAAATGCAAAAATAAATGCGATCGTCAACCATAAAATTGGAATCCTTTATTATTTGTTACCAGTCGCATAAAAGTTTATGTAATTTAATTCATTTGTCTATTCTTTATTTCTTAGCTATTAAACAAATGAACGAATGCTTCTTAT